CTGGTTCATAGAAAATAAATTGGTTTGAAGACATTAAATTTAGTATAAGTGTATGGATGTGTAAGAAATTTTAGCACAAGGTTCCATGCCACAATAGGAGGGTTGGGATTGATTTTGGGGGTTATTGTCGAATCTGTTTTGTAATTAAGGGCCAGAAAGGGGCCAAAAACAATTATTTGTCTGGTTTTCAGACAATAACTCGAGTATAAGTGTATATATCTCTGTTAAAAATTTGAGCACAAGGTTCTACACCACAATAGGAAGTTTGGGATTAATTTTTGGGGTTATTGCCATAGCTGTTTAGGAATTAGGGGCAAAAAGTGCCTAACAAAAACAATTTTTTGTCTGGTTCACAGACAATAACTTGAGGATAAGTGTATGGATCTTTATTAAATTTTAGCACAAGGTTTCATACCACAATTGGAAGGTTTGAATTTATGTTGGGGGTTGTTGTTGTAGCTATTAAGTAATTAGGGGCAAAAAACAGCATTTTTCATGGTTCAGGACAATAATTTGTGTATAAGAGTATGGATCTCTATGAAATTTTACCACAAGGTTCCCAACTTCAAAAGGAAAGTTGGGATTGGTTCGGTGGGACATGGTCCAAACCGTTTAATAATAAGGGGCCGAAAAGGGAAAAAAAACTAGGATTTTCTGATTTCTGGACAATAACTTGAGTATAAGTCTATTTCTTGCTATTTAATTGTGCCACAAGGTGTTATACCATAAAGTTTGGGATAGATTTTAAAGGTTATGACCCTATTGGTTTAGTTGAAAGGGTCCAAACCCAATACTTTTGTAATACTTTGTATAAATTGTTTATTTCTTTAACAATTTTAATGGGGTTTAATTCCAAGTCTTGAATTCTTGGTGTTCTTTAATATGCTGAATCTAATTAGGTATTTAGAATTTGGATTTTTGGCCCTGTTTTTGAATTGATCCATATTAAGGTCCAAAGGTCAAAATTAAACTTTGTTTGATTTCTTCAACAATTAAATTATCGGTGTTCTTTCATATGCTGAATCTAATTGTGTATTCAGATTTTTTAATTTTGTGCACAGTATACAAGTTGGCCCCAATTTGGGTCCAAAATTAAACTTTGTTTGATTTCTTCAAAAATTAAATTATCGGTGTTCTTTCATATGCTGAATCTAATTGAGTATTTAGATTTTTTCATTTTGTGCACAGTATACAAGTTGGCCCAAATTGGGGTCCAAAATTAAACTTTGTTTGATTTCATCAAAAATTGAATTATTGACGTTCTTTGATATGCCCAATCCAACAGTGTTTTATGTTTTTGATTTTGGGCTTGGTTTTTAAGGTTGGTCCAAATTGGGGTCCAAAGTTAAACTATGTTTGATTTCATCAAAAATTGAATTATTGATGTTCTTTGATGTGCGAAATCTAACACAGTTTTTAATTTTTAATTTTGGGCCCGTTTTCCGAACTGCTCCACATTAAGGTCCAAAGTATCCAAAATTAAACTCGGTTTGATTACCAAAAAATTAAATTCTTGTGGTACGTCATTTGATATGCTGAATATAAGCATATAATTCGATTTTGTTTTAGGCACAGATTTCAAGTTGGTTGAAATTGGGGTCCAAAATTAAACTTTGTTTGAATTTAACAAAAAAATAATATATGGGGTTCTTTGATATGCTGAATATAAGTGTGTATTTTGATTTTGGAATTTGGGTCCTGTTAGAAAATTGGTTCACATTGAGGTCCAAAGGGTCCAAAATTAAACTTGAAATTGAAATCTTGGGGTTCTTTGAAATGCTGATTCCAACCATGTATTTAGATTTGGATATTGGACCATAATTGGTAAATGTCCAATTTTAAATTATTTAAGTTCTTATACCACATTCATTCTGTGTCAAAAACTGTGCTATATTAAATATATAATCAGAATCTAAATTCAGAGATGTATTGCACAATTAACAGAAATTGAGTCATAGTTGAAAATAGATATAGCATCATATCTTATTTTAAAGAAGAAATTATGTATTCATATAGTTTGAAATTTACTGTTCATTAATGGATATTTTGAAAAATAATGAGGGTAAGTTTTATGGATTTTTTTAAAGAGTTTGTATTAATGAGAAATAATATTTTGGAATTTATTTATTTTTTCGTTTTTTTTTACAATACTTTTCTAATACTTTGTATAAATTGCTTATATCTTGACAAATTTTAATGTGGTTTAATTGAATGTCTTAATTGCATGTGATTCTTCTATATGCTGTATCTAGCCGTGTATTTAGATTGAAGATTTTGGGCCCTGCATTTGAATTGGTCGAAGAGTCCAAAATTAAACTTTATTGAATTATTGGTGTTCTTTGGTGTGCCGAATCAGACTAACCATGTATTTAGATTTTAATTTTGGGGCCCTCTTTAAATTGGTCCACATTAAGGCCCAAAGGGTCCAAAATTAAACTTTGTTTGGTTTAAAAAAAATATTGAATTCTTTGAGTTCTTTGACATGCATGCTGAATCTAACTGTGTATGTAAATTTTTGATTTTGGGCATTTTATCAAATTGGTCCACATTGATGTCCAAAGGATCAAAAATTAAACATGTTAAACTTTGTTTGCTTTAACGAAAAATTGAGTTTTTGATATGCTGAATCTAAACTTGTATTTAGATTTAGGATATTGGGCCATGATAGTAAAAAGTCCTATTTTAAAATTCTCAGTTCTTTGACCACATTTATTCTGTGTCAGAAATCTATATTGTGTCAAATATTTAATAACAATCCAAATCCAGAGCTGTATCAATTAACCCATTATTAGTAATTGCCAAGTAATTTACTTAACATAAATCAAGTAAGAGTTTTATCTAGTAATGCTCCGTATATAAGATATATCATGTATATAAAGCATACCTAGTAATATGAAGATTTTTTTTTTAGTAATCGAAAAGAATTTCAGTAAATTGATTTTTTTCATTTAACGGGATGTTAGCTGTCAAATTTATGTTCACTGATTTGACTCAAATTCTCATATTTGATTGATATCATACTAAAACGTATATCCAAATTACAAAAAAATCTAAAATAAACAGTTAACATGGTTAACAATGCATGGATTCGATAATATATATCTGCATTTCATGTGGATTTTAGTCTACACGCCGAAAAATTAACCATCGCATTGACTTCTGAAGACTGCCGACGGCCATATAACCCGATATAAAGTTAGATTATTGACTTGCAAGTCAATAATATATCAGCGATTTTTTTTAGCTTACTTTGACAGATCTGGGCTCAACTGACTGCCTATAACGAAATATTGGTTTAAAATTCCGCTTTTATTGTTTCGACTTGACGGAGTACAAGAGCGAGACTTAGATATGCTGTTTCCAACGTTGGCGGCGGCGGCAGTGTCAACAATGTGTTAGTTTGTGATTAGGTCAGTTTATAGGGAACCGCTAGTGGTAGATCATTGATATTTGGTATGTAGTTTTGTTGGCATTGGCACATCTTATTTTAATGGAGATTATTAGGCCCAGCCCCTCAGTCATTGTCTATTGACTTTGAATCTTTTTCTAACTTTGTATGTATTATTTTATAATTAGTTCAATTTAAGAAGAACAACTTGTTGTAGGTCAATGATTTTTGGTATGTAGATGCATTAGGTTTGCCACATCTCATTTCCATGTAGATTTTTCAATCCCGCTCCTCAGTCATGGTCTGTTGACTTTGACACTTTTGCTTACTTTACATTGTTAGTTTGTGATTAGGTCAGTTTAATGGGAACCACTAGTGGTAGGTCAATGATATTTGGTATAAAGAAGCATTAGTATTGGCACATCTCATTTCCATGGAAATTATTCTGCTCCTCCCCTCAGTTATGGTTTATTGACTATGAACTTTTTGCATAGTTTACATGTTAAGTTTGTGATTAGATCAGTTTAAGAGGAACTTAATGTTAAGTCAATGATATTTGGTATGCAGTTGTATTATCATTTGCAAGTCTATTTTCCGTGTAATTATATGGCTACACTCCCTCAGCATGGTTCATTGACTTTTAAACTTTTATGTTGTTTACAAATTAAAGTTTGTGTTTAGGTTATTGTAAAGGGAATCACTTTTGATAAGTCAATGGTATTTGGTATGCAGTTTTATAAGCATTGGTATTTTTGATTTCCTTAGGGTAATTTGGTCCTGCACTATACATCATGGTTCATTGACTTTAAATGTTTTGAATAGTTTACATGATTGTTTAAATATTGCCATTTGGATTCAATATTTGCATTATACTATCAAAATTACAACGAGGCGAGACATATCTCTGTGTCACCAGTTTATCAATACTTGAAACAAAATTAATCGTAGCGGAGGGGCACTAAGGTTTACCTTTGTCCGTCTGTACGTCCATCCGTATGTCAGTACGTCCGTTCGTCCCGAAATTGGTTTCCGTTCTCTAACTTTAGTTTTCCTTGACCAAATGTTATGTGACTTATACACAAATACAGATCAAGTTCGAATTTGGGTGGCGTCACCTTTGCAGTTCTCTAGTTATGTCCCTTTATAACGTTTTATGCAAGCGGGGGCATCATCTGTGTTCCATGGACAGATTTTCCATTTATTAAGTAATATCTTTACTTCAAATAAGTTAAGAAAAGATACTGAATATTTGAACATATCGAAAGGCTCGTTATACTCCATTGTATATATTTTATAAATATAATTTGACCGAAACTCAATCGGTTCTAAACATTAAAAGAAATCAAGGATGCTTAAATAAGATGTATTGTCATTTCATTCCTGAGAAAATAACAATTTATTCATTTTTTCTCATCAGATAGGTTAAAGTAAGTTTTCGAAATAAATGGTGGATTATACAGCATATTTAATCTGTTGTTAAAAGCAAAATAATGACCTCAAACTTCAAATTTAATCTGATCGTTTTTTCCTTGTCTACATGCTGTGCATACTATTTGATTTCGATCTTTTTTCTCCAACATATATCAATGCAATATCTATCCTTTAATTGTAGAATGGAATCCAGACCAGTGTGTGAACCCTGCACAGCACAAGAAAAATCGTCAGTGGCCATAAAGTTGTGCTCTGATTGTGAAGAAAAACTCTGTAAAAATTGTGTAGAAGACCACTCCAAATTTAAAGCATTTCGGTCTCACCATTTGATTGACTTATCTTCGGTCGGGTCAAAATTACCGTCATTCGCAAAACACTGTGATTTACACAAGGACAGTCTGCTCGACTTCTATTGCTCTCAACATAGCGTTGCATGTTGTAGATCCTGCATTCCATTAAACCACCAGACATGCAAAGATGTTCTACCAATAGAAGTTGCATCCAGGAATATCAAAGATTCAGCAATCCTTCAAGATACTTTGGGAGACGTGGATAATGTCTTAAAATCCTTGATATATCTGATGGAAAATAGAGACAACAACATAAAGAAGTTTGTGGATTCTGAACCTGTTATATTAACGCAGGTGAAAAAGGTTAAGGATCAAATTATGCAGGTTGACAAGCTAGAAGGAAACATTATCAAAGATTTGTCTTGCATGAAGCAAAGACACGAGACAAGACTAAACGAAGAAAAAAACGAAATAACAATGTTAATAACGGAAGTTCTTGAAGGTAAAAACCAGATAGAATTCCTGCAAGAACATGGTTCAAATAATCAGCTTTTCTTAGCTGTTCAACAACAAGAGAACAAAGTGCAAGCAGTAGAAAGTCGTATTGAAAAGATGACTGCCACTTTTATTGACACCGAGCTTACCTTTAATGTTGTAAAGTACCATGAGATTGGATCTATTGGTTCAGTTACTGAAACAATTATATCATGTAAAGTTCAACATAAACCATTAAAGCTAAAACAAGCCCAAGCAAACCCAGAAAGTACCAAGCCAATTACCAGCATAAAAAGGGAACGTGAATTACACCTTAAAACTGGAGAGAGTTACAACTTGACAGGTATAACCGTAACTAATGCCAATAAATTGCTTCTTTGCAATTATTTCGATAGTAATAAATACTGTTATATATACAATAACTGTGATGGATATGAGACAAGTATTGAATTTTCATCAATTCCATATGATGTAGAAGTTTTACCAAAAGACGACATGGCAGTGGTCACCCTTCCGAACGAAAAAAGCTTACAATACATCAATACTAAAACCACTACAAAATGTAACAAAATTGCAACAGCTGAAGAATGTTACGGTGTTTGTACAAGTAGGAATAACATATTTTTAGGCGGAATTGGAAATGTTTATATACTAGATTTGGAGGGATCCTTTGTCAGAAAAATCATTACACAGTATTCAGAGAAAATATATTCGATATGCTTCAGTGAAAGCAGTCAGCAAGTGATCTGTCGTAACAAAATAAGATTACTTGGCTTAAAATTAGAAGGAGACGTCGTATATAGTCATAGTGTTAATGGAGAATCAGGATTGGCATTAGACGTAGGGGGAAATGTTTATTATAGCGACGAGACATTAAATAGAATTTTACGTCTATCGAGTGATGGAAATTATAAATTTGGAATCCCTATCAACGACAAAGGTAACAGACCTAATGCAATAGCTTTCAACAAAAGCTTTACTAAACTTTTCATAATAAGTAGGTTCGAGTCAGTTCAGATATATAGTTGCTGTTAATCAATGATTACAATCTAGAAACGTTCATTAACTGTTGCTTAAACCACGCAGTAACAATATTGATTCGTTATAATCTTGAAATTAATGTTTTGAAAACAAAATTTTCTATTATTTTGTCTGTTCAAAACACGAAGTGAAACCAACTTTTGATAATTTGTTGTAGATATTGAGATTTATGGCGTCCAATGTGAGAATGTTTTATTTTTGTAAACATTCATAATAGAAATATGTAAAGCATTCTAAAAGAAAATTTTCATTACCGCGATAAATTATTTTTGTATAAATTTATAAGATAAGTTTTTATTTATCATTTGACCGATAAAACGTTCATGGTTATTCGTATATTTCATGCTCAAGTGCGTCCATTAGTAAACTGAAGTTCTTCTCTCGGTTGATTGATTGGGAAATTTAATATTTTGGGCCTTCACTAACAACTCTCTTAGTAGTGCAATGTTTACGTTGTCAAAGCCCCAGGAACTGTATCGGGAAGTTTTTGGTCCCCTACCGACGAAGTTGAAGGGGACTTTAGGTTTGCACTCCGTCCGTCTGTCTGTCTGTCCATCCGTCAGTCCGGCAAATCAGTTTTCCACACTTTTCGTGCTTGAAGAAATTGATTTGATATTTGGTGTATTGTTTTATCATGTCAAGTTACAGATCAGGTTCGAATTTTGTTCTGGTCTGATGATTTTGTGCAGAGTTATGGTCCTTGGACTTAGAAAATTCACTCAAATAATCAGTTTTCCTAAACAAAATTTCGTCATGCTTGAAGATATTGAATGGATAATTGGTATATAGTTGTACCAAGACAAGTAACAGATCAAGTTCGAATTTTGTTCCGGTCTGATGATTTTGTGCTGAGTTATGGTCTTTGGACTTAGAAAATTCCCTTAAATAATCAGTTTTCCGCACTGGTTTTCGTCATGCTTGAAGATATTGATTTGATAATTGGTATATAGTTTTATCATGACAAGTAAAAGATCAAGTTCAAAATTTGTTCAGGTCTGATGATTTTGTGCAGAGTTATGGTCCTTGGACTTAGAAAATTCACTCAAATAATCAGTTTCCCTAAACAAAATTTCGTCATGCTTGAAGATATTGAATGGATAATTGGTATATAGTTGTATCATGACAAGTAACATGTCAAGTTCGAATTTTGTTCCGGTCTGATGATTTTGTGCTGAGTTATGGTCCTTGGACTTACAAAAATTCCCTTAAATAATCAGTTTTCCACACTTTTTTTCTTTTTTTTTTGAAGATATTGACTTGATATTTGTTATAAAGTTTACACCATGACAAGTTATAGATAAAGTTAGCAATTTGTTCCAGTACAATGAATTTTTTACCGGTAGGGGACTATGTATTGCCATGCAATACCATCAGAATGATTTTTACTTTTATATCCTTCAGGGTAAAGGTCTCTAGGACATTTATAAGGTTGAAAACCTTGGATGCATTGAGTTTGGAGTAGGCATTTTAAATGAAAGATGTAGTTTTATCTTGAACGGAAATTATTGTTTTGTACAGAAATGTTATGGAAAATATTACTAATAGCATCCGAATCCTTATTTGCCGATTCTTCTTTAAAAATTGTGGTTAGCAATGTTCATAATTATTGCCACCAACCTGTCGTATAATCCTTGTCGTATTTGACCGGCTTCTTCTCACTTTGGTCCTTTATTCGTACTAGTTAGACAAGAGCTTTTCTTGAAGAGTTAAAGTAAGCGAGCATTATTGTACACATGTACGTTTCGCTACATACAAGATGTCCTCTTATTTAATAACTCAAAATTTGGAGAACATGTTTATCGTATCTTTCCCATTTAACTTACAATAAAGAACAAACAGGATAAGTTTTAGTCTGCTTCATATCCCCAAGATACAGCTAGACATTGATAATAAATAACTATGATATGGATTACGGGTGCCACATGTGGAGCAGGATCTGCTTACCTTTCCAGGGCACCTGAGATCAGTTTTTGATGGGTTTCGTATTGCTCAGTCTTTAGTTTTTCTATGTTGTCTTTTGTGTATTGTTGTTTGTCTGTTGATCTTTTTCTTTTTGAGCCATGTCGTTGTCAGTTTATTTTCGACTTATCAGTTTAAATGTACCTTTGTATCTTTTGCTTCTCTTTTTGTCCAAATGTAGACATAGACATAGATAATTGGAAATGATTATAATAGCAATAAGTATCTCTGAAATGGAGTTCACTCTGATAATCAAATGCGTATAACCCCCTTTTAATGTGTCGGGAGCTATTTAAGTATTTTCTGACTTCGCCGGCGGGACACAGAGTTCAAAAGGGATTAATCAGAGGCGTAGCAGGGAAAGTATTTAATATTTGTACGGCAAAATGTCCTTTCTAGAAGGGTTTGTGCCATATCATAAGAATAATTGGTATGGCAATGAGGTGTTTAAAAAATAATTGGTATGGCGAATGTGCCTGCAGTAAAAGTTGCTACGCCCCCTGGCTTCCTGTAACATAAATAGCTGTGACTCATTACGGCCACTTTGTCTAGACAAGTTTGGCTTTAGCCATACATATTATTACTTCAAAGAAACATTTTAATTTAATAGTCTGTCTTAAAAGTGTCTTTAGTCTTTAAAAAAAATCTAAAAAAAAAATATAAGTTGACAATACAGAACTTCGTTAACTAATGATGCCATATTGGATAGGGGGCAGATTTTCTGGAAAATGGTATGAAAATATGGGAAAACCTATGCATGGTTCCAAGTGGCTGTACTGTTTCAATGATGTTTTTTAGTATTTTTCATACCATTTTCACCTCCAGTATGAAAATCTGCCCCTTATTCAATATGGGGTCATTAACCGTGAAGTCCTGTATTGCATGGAATAATATTGTAGCATAAATGCCAAAAAATAATTTGAATATATAAATAGTTTTTTTTATATACATGTATAATATATGTACAAATGTAATGTTTCTTTATTTATTCTAGGAATGAAGAGCAAAAGGATATAGCAGTCTTTATATAAAATAGTTCAGGAATCCAGTTGGAAAGAAGAGCTATTCAGTTAAACGTATTTCCTGGGAATTAACAGGAACTTCTATAAATGTTTTTCTGGAATAGTTATTCAAAAGGGCAGTGGAGCGAAGGATTACATTAGACAAATATTGCTGAAGTGGTAAAATCAGACCCAAGAGATGTACAAAATTTCTACAATACATGTTACAGCTGACTTTAGCTACTTAATCACATTGACATTTGTGTGCTTTTATGTTTTCTTTACATTATTACTACAGTTCTATTAAAATTAATATTTTTATTCTTTGTCACAATTATTGATAAAAAAAGTACAGCATTTTAATATGGTTTTTCATAGTCTCACTTGCATTGTACTTAAATAAGTTGTCTGTAGATGTTTACACTAGGTTTTCAGGCATTTCACTTCACTTGATTGAAACAGCATTTAAAATTTTGTTAAATTATGGCCTGAAAAATACATTTAATATTTTACAGGAGTTTTCACAATCAGTGAATGGCTGTTTATCACAGTAGTACATGTACATTTCACGGTCTTTTCACAATGGGCACATAATTTATCACACGACATTTTCATGGTGTACATTTTTGTTTTTCACAGGGTTTCTACGGTCTCTTTACCCAAGTTTTCAGTTGGCACCTTTTCACGGCCTTTTCACGACAAATAAAGGCATATACTGTACTATATCTACATTTCACGGTCTTTTCACAATGGGCACATAATGCTTTTATCACGACTTTTTTACGGTGTACATTTTTTTTTCACAGGGTTTCTCCGTCTTTTCACCCAAGTTTTCAGGTGGCACCTCTTCACGGCCTTTCCACAATTTTTTCACAGCCTTTTCACGACAGTCATTCCACGGCATTGTCACAGATAAGTTTCACGGCCCACGGTAAATTAACCGTGACAGACACTGTAAAAATCACCAGCATTTTTACGGACATTTTCACGGCCAATCTACGGGGCATTGTTCCAGTAGTGCATGACAGTGATTTTCTTTTACGCTTACATCTATTGAAACAGAAGAGACTACCGATGAAACACCTGCTGCCAAATAGAAGACAAAGTACACGAAGTATGAACACAAGAAGACCTTCTTTGAAGAATGTATAGTAAGTTTAAATTTACATGTTATATATAGTAATAAATATAATACCTATATAAACCTTGAATCATTAAGATAGTTTGTTGAAAACTGCTAATAACAAAAACAAAGAGCAATAAATGATTTGGAAGAAAGATAGTCTGGTTTAATGATTTAAAAAGAAAATGCTCTTTAATAATGGTTTTATTTAAGAATTGAACGCTTCTATTTGTAAATTCATTGGGGTGTAAAAGCATTGACCGAAGTACATTTTGTATGAAGCGCGGAAGCGCTTCATTCTAAAAATGTACGCACGGTCAACGCTTTTACAACCCTATGAAATTACTAAAAGAAGCATTCAATACTTATAATTACATTTTTTCGTTATGATCATGAAAACACGATTACTATCAAGTTTTTCTTTTGTTTACCTGTGCACTTTATTGTGGAAACGAGTGTACTCATGTATGTTTCAATTCATGCAATTCATTTTGAAATGAAGAATGACGCGAGATTGCTGTTAGCCAATCAAAATAACGTATAATAATGGAACATACATCTAATGTAATTATTAAAAATAGATGGTTATTTTCTAGAATTATTATAAATTGGTTTAAAATATGATAGAAAATGTGAACAGCCAAAATGATTAACATTACAAGATCTATAAAATTGCAAACATGACCTAAACTATTAGAAGACATTTTTTTGTAACTACTGTTACTGTCCTTCAATGTCAATTTTTGCTGCAATTTAATGTTTTGACAATTATCGGAAAAAATATATATTAAAGAAAGATAAAAACTACATAAATGATCGCCAAAACAGAATCTACAGAAAAGAAAAAATGACTGGAAATATTGGATGATTCCTTATAAGAAATATTGAACTTAGTTGACTATATCTTTTTTTTATACGACCGCAAAAAAATTTTGCGGTCGTATATTGGTATCACGTCATCGTCGTCATCGTCGTCGGCGTCAGCGTCGTCCGAAGACATTTGGTTTCCGGACAATAACTTTAGTTTAAGTGTATGGATCTCTATGAAATTTAACCAAAAGGTTCAATACCACAAAAGGAAGGTTTGGATTGTTTTTGGGGATGATGGTCCCAACTGTTTAGGAATAAGGGGCCAAAAAGGGGCCAAAACAAGCATTTTTCTAGTTTCAGGACAATAACTTGTGTATAAGTATTTTGATTGCTCTGAAATTATACCACAAGGTTCAATACCACAAGTAGAAGGTTGGGATTCATTTCGGGGGTAATTGCCCAAACCGTTCAGGAATTAGGGGCCAAAAAGGGTCTTAAACAAGCATTTTTCTAGTTTTCAGACAATAACTTGTGTTTAGGTGTATGGATGTCTCTTAATTTGTACCACATTTTACAAAAAGAAAATTTCTCCAAAATTAATTTTTTTTTTCCTCAAAAAGAAAATTCTCCTCAAATATTATTATTTTTTTTAGAGTGGGGGTAAAAAAAAATTTTTTTTTGGGGGGGGGATTATTTTTTTTTGGGGGGGGTCAATTTTTTTCCTCAAAATTTAAGGTGGCTCGGCCTTTTAACAGTGCACACATTTTAACGCATGTTTCCAACGCCGAGCGCGTGCATTTGAATTCAGAAACAATGGCTGACAGGGGTCGTCTCAATGGACGCTTTTGCACAAAGTCAAAAGAAAAGTTATCGGTCGCAGCAATAGATAAGAACAAAATAAAGAAAAACGTTGACGGAAGAACTGTTGGGACTAGAATATTAGACATAGATTTTTTTCTATCGAAGTTCTTTTGTTGTTTTTGTGGAG